TGTGTGTGTAAAAAACTACAGTAATCACACACACCGTTGCACGACCGCTTTTTCAACGTCATTTTCCAGCGAGCTGAGTGCAGCCAACATTACGGCCGAGTAGCCAGCTCGATTTGCCAGATTCAGTTGACATTCACCGGAGTCGAGCAGTGACGAAACGACACCAAAGTTTCCATGAGATACTGCATAGTGAAGCGCTGTGTTGCCCTATAATTTTTCTTGTGGTGTTGGGAGTACTTATACAGGGTGAAAGCTTACGTTTTGGTCCGTTATGTTCACAACAACTTTGAGAAGAGCTGGTGACAGTTCTCTTAGCTGCTCTATCAATATGTCAACGGCTTCAGCTTGGCTGTTCTTTCGTGCTGCACATTTTAGCCATTCATGTTGTACATACTTCAGCGCCCAGTCCTATAACCGAAAACACAGTGAACTCAGCAATAAAACGAAAAAATGCCAAAAATATCTAATGCCAAAAATCGGTAAATTTTGTTGATGTCGCGACTCACCGCTGTTTCTGAAGTGATTGTACCAGGCTGAATGAGATGCGAGTTCAGACTTTCCATGGCTTCACGCATCGGTGTTGAGATTTCATAAGGAGAATCTAAACATACCCTAAGGTAAAGCTAGAACTTGATACAACAAGAAGAAACTATAGAAAAATTCTGGGAAGCTTAGTCTATGTCTAGAGTTACTCGTGCCAGTGCCGTGCCAGGATCGTGCTAGCTGATTGATCGATCATGCAATGTCCACGAGGGTACCATCATGGAGCTAACTTGGGCTGACACGGCGCTGGCACGATGCTGGCACGGTACGCGCTAGCACGACATAACGAAAGCAGCCTTACAACACCTGCTTACCAAACTGAAGATGGAAAAATTTCTGCTGCACAAACTTTTATCTTTTCAAAAATCAAGAAGACATGAACCTTACCTTCATGATCTACGCCATCTTCATGAGTATCGTAGCTTCCTTCGGAATCGTCTGAATCTTCGTCAGACTCACTGAATCAAAAATCAATATATTGATTGGCCCAAAGACGATTAGGATCTCACCTTCCCGCCTTATATGGCGAATATGGTACTTGCGTATTTGAACGAGGCCACCTGTAAAATGACATTTCAAACCTTTTGCAGTTCAATCCTGACTGTTTCCAATGTTTTGAGCAAAAATACCTTCCAAGACTTCTCAGTTCACTGCGCAATGGTGTAAGGCGATCCGCAGCTTCCTCCTCCTCATCTGGTGTTTCTGCGCTTTCCTCAGGTAAAGCATATTTGCTAATTTTTGGTCGAGGTATCCTTGCCGGGATAGGGTCTGGTAGGTTAGACGGAGGTAGAGGGATTTCCTGTGAACATTCTGCGTCAATGGCTGTGGTAGAAATCGGCACCAGAGTTTCCGCTTACCTTTTTCAGCACAACTTTGTTCTTCAAAGCATCTGAAGTTTCACCGGATGGTGTAGTTGCAGGAGCACATGGTGATGATGACACTGACTAAAGATTCAAAATTTCATGAAATGTTGTTCAGTAGGGTACAGGTTTACTTGAATCTTACCTTGCTTTTCTCCGTGATATACTCCAAATCATCGCCTTTCTTTCGTTCAAAGCGAGCACTTTTTGATACAGCATTGCCCCTCACAAATGGTTGTTTCTGCTCCGATGTGAGTAATTTCTTTATGGCAGTGGCTCTAGCATGATCAAACTCCTTCGAACGTGTGTCATCCCTTTCGGGCTAAAAATGCTGGAGTAGAGTTGCTTGACCAAATATCAATGTGTCTCTTGAACAGTGGAACAAGAGTTGTACAGAACTTGTGCTTTGAAAAACATTTGGAAAAAAGACTGGCAGTTTAAGCATTTTTTACTTCTTATGAATAATTAAAAGTATGTAGATTTCTTTTTCAACACAGAATTTCTTTTTCAACCAGAGAAACCAGAAGGGTTGCTATTTAAGTTACTTTGCATGGAAAAAATTTATCGATTTTTTTGGAGCAAGTATACCTTCTAGGCCTCAGGTCTGCTCAATATAAGCTTTTAATTTGAAAAAAATGTACGCCCGTGATTGGTCACTACGCGATAGGGGTCCATGATTGGTCAACACTAAGTCGACCAACCACAAACGCGCGCCATAACTCTTGGTATTCATGGCTTTCATAATGGCTAAGGCAATAAATCTAACGTTTGTAAATGATGTCTACTCCATTTTCCAATGTAAAGGTACGAGCTAAAAATAGCGAATTTCTTGAAGAAAGTTAGAAACAATAATTAAGGCCTCCACTTTAACTAGGACGACTAATACATCCAGACAGTTCAGGTTAGAAATAAAGAAATGAAAGTATTGCTTCGGCATTCCGTCTTATTTTAAAAGGTTGTTAGAAAATCACTTATACAGTATGGTTGACTAAAAAGACGATATGCTCTAGCTAACAGCTATACTAACTTTTTTCCAGCAAATTGGCAGCGTCCCAAAATTGCTACTAACAACAGCTGCAAAAAACTTGACCTTACCTTGAAACCAGGTGCATCGTTCTCATCCACTTCATCCGGGGTGGCCTTATCACACTCAATGCAGACCTGTAACGAAACCAGGACAGTGTACAGGCAAAAAGTTAACTATGAGAAAATTCCTTGTCCGTGTTATTCCTGACCTTGTCCGAGACGGCACAGGCTCCGACTCCAACGTTACGTGTGAACGTTTCTTCACGAAGTCGACATCGTACACATTCCACAGTTGGTGTCTCGCCAGCGATATCGTCAGATGCTATCGACTCCACGTTGGAATCTGGAGCGAATACTTCAAAACGCTCAGTGTACAGGATAGCTATTGATTGTTAATATAAAAGACACCTGTTTCCGTCTGACATTCAGCATCGCTTGAGGCAGCATTGGCAAAACCGTCCGAGGGTACAA